TCAGCGAGTTTTACGACTCACAGAACCTAGCTACAATCCGTCAAAAGGACAAATGAAGTCAATCTCGTGACGAACATTCTGCCGAAACAGTTGTATTATCACTCCTCTTTCTGTCCCAGCCTATATATCTGATCACTACCCAGATCCAGTTTCTCTAAAGTCTCAAGATTAATAAATTTATAATTATTCATAGAAGGAAGATAAGGTCCAGTTCAGGATCTTGTAATATACTAAAAGTCGGTAATAAATATAAAAATACTATAAACAAATTAATTTAGTCATATATAAGTTTAAAATATTGTAATAGCTGCTAACTTGCGTTACCTGATGTCATAAAATTGAATATTTCTTAATACAAATAACTTTCTGAACAAGCATAGATGTATTTATCGGGCCCGAATACCTTTTATAATGATCTTATATACTATTTTCTAGAAAACTTTCACCATAGATACTAAAAGCTATTAGGCACTGTTTACTCGTGTAAATTAATAGCTATAAGTGCTTTGTTAAGTTTATTTGAATTAAAGTAAACAGACAGGTGTTATCACTAGTATAATAAATATTTTTTTATATAAAAATTGGATATTTTGTTAAATGTATTGCGTCTCGCTCATATCTTTATAAGCTAATAAAAGCCCTCTCAAACATTTTATTCCCTCACTTGTTAATAAAACGTTGCAACACCTATGATTCATTCAAAAGACAAACCAAGTTTATATTTAATAGTTTAAGGACTCATAAACAATAAAACAAAGAATATTTCGTTTTATAAGCATGTGTATTAATTGACGTTCATGTTCTATTTTAGTTTGACTACTTTTCTTAATTAAATGATTGACACTAAGAATTTTGGTCTGGTTTTTGCTTCAGACAATGATTTACTTTTACGTATGCTTTCAGAAAAAATATCTAAAACGTTTACACGACACCAGATCAGTCTATGAGGATAGATTCATGGGGAATGGAAGATACTGTCTTAACTGGAAGGACTATATGCCGCTGCAATGAAATACTATATTAATATTTTTCGTTTATAAGTAGTTTTTCGAGGTTACCCTTAATGTTTGATTAGATGGCGTGTTTGATTTTTTGTTGAAAAAACAGCTCGAGTTGTGAAGCTCATTAATTGTATGATTTTGTGTGATTTAGTTATCTCTAGAAACATTTAATCAAAGCCAAATGTGACAGTAACTATGCTAAATTTAATTTTGAGTAAATCACTTTCTTAGCTTACGTTCTATAGCCTTTCTTACTGCACTGAATCGACCGTATGATGTATATAAATCCATTAACACAAACCTTATTTGGCTCTTCTCCAATATTTATAAGGACCTCTTTGCCCATTTCTGAAATAAATGAATGAATAGATTTAAATATAATCTATTCTTTACACTATCTGATTCAAAAGCTCAAACTCTTAGTTGCCACAATCATACAAGCCATAGAATCAAATAAACTATAGTCACCCAGTGATTGTAAAGTAGACACAAAGTTTCGATGGGTTAAAAATATAAATAACAGTCAAAGCACAAAAATCTGTTCAATAAAATAAAAATCTATACAAATTAACTTGTTCTATTTTTTAAATTAGATCTATTATTTTTTAAATTAATTATGCTTTTCTTTGAATATACGATCGACGCTTTATTGAATTTAGCTAGTCTTTGAAAAGGCTTGCTATGTGATGACTGATGATTTGCTGGATAAGTTTGAAGTAGTTGCGGATGAGTCCGGCCAGGAATTCGTAAAGCTTGTTTTTACCGACGACAATAATGAGCCTACCGGTTATGCTCTTGTTACTCCTGAGGATGCTAAAAAGATTCTTTCAGGTGAAGCAACTCTACAAAGTACAGTTGACTCTGAGGGAAAACAAATAATCACCTTAGCGCCTGTCATTCAAAGTGATCAACCTAAGCCTAACGAGGTTAATTTTTATTTTTTAAATGGTATTTTTATGTATCCTATTTCATAGCGTACTCGCATTCTAACTATTGCTCGCAGCTCTGTTTTAGTGTACCTTTTTATTTTCTTATTATTTATCGTACTTAAACACGTAAAAATTATTCACCTTTTCAAACGGTCTCGTTAACTTACGATTTTCAATGTTTTTAATTCAACTTTTTATGAGCAATTGATTGTTTCATATCTTCTTAGGACTCGAACTTAGATGGAGTATTGGCTGTTGATAACCTTGATGAAGCTATTGAATCTGACTCTAAACAAGATATGCTTTCACCCATTAAACAAGCATCTAAAGATGTCCCAAGATCTGAAACAAATTTAATTTCTATGGGCCCCTCAGCTGGTGTCGACAACCAGGATGCAGCCCCTGAAGGCGTTGAACAATATACAATAAGCGAAGAAACCGTAATTATCAACGGGATTCATATGCAGCTCGTTACCTTGATTGATTCACAAGGTAATGTCATTGATCAGAAACGAGGAAGACCTGGCGAGGAGGTCGCGATAGAAATGCATGGTCAAGCTTTTATGTACCAGATGCAAGGACCATTGGAGGGGGGTGAACAGCTAACGGTACTTTTCAATAACCTTAGATATCTTGTTTTTCACCACTTATAATGTTTTTTAACTTACAGTCTACTTTGTACGTCTCGTCTGGAGAGCCAGACGACCAGGTGCCAGCTGACGTCACTCAGCATACTCCTGAAGGCTGGTCTGATGTAAGTTCCTGGTATTGAGTTTATGCCAACACACTTATCTTATAATGCTCATTTGTATATTAATTAATGTAATTTTTTAAACATTTAGCTAAAGGATAGCACAGATGATATTGGTGTCCCAACTCATCCTATTCCTGAGGGTGACCCTGCTTCTGTCGCCGAAGCCGCAGGCCAACAATATACGCTTACTGAAGCAATGGCTATAGTTGACGGAGAGGCTATGCAAACCGTTATTTTGGAGGATAGTCAAGGCAACGTTTTAGACCAGAAGCAAGGCCGACGCGGAGATCGTGCTATGATTAGTATTCATGGACACTCACTTGAATACGTTTTTCTTGGACCTACTGAGACTGGAGAGGCTATAACAGTATGTAAAAACATTTTCAACTTAGTTTTTAACCCTTGGTTAGGGTGATGGGGGCCTGGCAGAACGTACTTAGTCCTGACATATATTCAGACTAATTTCCCAGGATTTTTGTCAGAATCTTAATTGATGCGCAATCCTTAGCATACAATTGTACCTTATCAAAATCACTGTTTTAATTGGTCAAGGATCCCTCCTCTTGCTGCCAAAACGTCTAGTAATGTAATAAGTAAATGGTCCGATACTAGGATTAATCATAAATGCTATAATATGAGGCGCAGAACTATGTACGATTCACAAGGTCTCCTTGTTGCTCTAAACATGTTTAGGAAATCAGGTAAATCCAAATAGTGGCTAAAGATGTCGACGACCAAATCTAATGTTGCATCATCTTAATCTTTATATCTTGTTAATTTTTTATTCATTTATTATTTTATCATTAAGATAATTTACTTTTATCACATCGCTGCTTTGAGAAATCTGTCTATCCTATGTTTGCTTTTAATTAAGGATGTTCTAGCCTATTTACCATCCTCAAAATTTCCTCCTATACTATCATCATAAGAACGTTTTCCTTAATTTTCCCAAACTAACTAAAATAAAATAGACATTTATTGTTTTCTTCGCTAGACCACCCTGGTTGTAACCACTGATTCTGATATTGGTCCGGATAGTGAGTCAGCTTTATCTTCTCTTGATGCGCCAGCTACAGCCCTAGGTGCACCACGTACCGAAGTTTCAGAAGCTGAGACACCTTCAGGTGCTGCGGCCTCTACTTGGGTGCCAGCTGGACTCGATGTCAACTTTTACACTGCTCTACGCCGTCAAGTCGAGGCCATGGTCTCGAACAGGTTTAGTCGGCCTGACGCACCTGTCTATGCCCCAGAGCATGTATATCATCCCCGCCTGGGTTCCCGACAAGCGCATTTAGAGATGCTGCAACTAGTTGCAAGTTATCGTCCTGGTTTAGCAAACAGGGAGTCTCTGGAGCGGTACGAGGTACTTCGTGGTTATGCTAGGATTTATAGGCCTTCAGGACCACATTCGCGTGCACTAACACGAAATGAGGTTTGTCGCTTTTATTGATGGATTTTTGTCTTAGTAGTAGACCAATTTTTTATATCTGGTTTCCTTAAGAGCTTCACTAAAGCTATCTCAGCTCTAGAAGTTAGCTCTAGTTTATTCGAGAATTCACAAGTTTATTTATCAGCCTTTTCATTCTTTATCGGACTTAAACCGATATTTTTGATAACATATAGTGATTCACACTTGACATATGATGCATTATATAATATGCATTCATTATATTATATTATATTATATAAACATTTTAATCCTTTATTATATGCATTTGGGCTTTGGCTGGAAGATTATTCTAACATCTATGTGCTTTTCTGGCTTTTACTATGAATAATACTTGTTTGAATGTTAACAAATAAAGGGATTTAAGCCAAGTTTCCTATTCTACGGTATTTTTCTTTTGAAGTAGACTTAAAGACACACTAATAAGACCGGGGACCAATCTCTTTATTATCATTGTTTTTACTTATTTAGTGTTATTTTATTCAATTATTTCTTATTC